CTCTCTCGCACGCACGGGCCGTGCCGGAGGCGCACTGAAGAAGAGAGAGAGAGACAGAGACAGAAACGGAGCGCTGTTCGAAACAAGCCCGCAGCAGTGCGGCTCGGTGCCGCTCCGCCGGCCGGCGAAGTGTCGCCTTACGAGCCCGATGGAGTCTACATCGAGATAATCGCGCGAAAAAGCGTAAAGTCGCGCAAATTGGTCTCGAACACGAAACTCGCCCAAACGCACTAACCTCGAAGGGAGTGAAGAAATATAAAAAACATGATAACCCACGACTTTGTCTCAGGAAAAACGAAACAGAAATGAACGATTCAGTGACATCCTTGACTTTTGCTCCACAAGAGTCCGACTCTAAGACAGTTTCTCTTTATACTCCTCCTCCCTATTTCTAGGCGCTGTGCCCTGGACCGCAGCAGTAGTAGTCGTCGTAGCAACGCGATATATCCCATCCCGGTCATCAGACTGGGTCCGTGCGAACGACGGGCGACACGCTATACCTGTAGGAAGTGAGGGGACAAACCATTCCCACAATCAAGAGATGCTGTGCGGCGACGATCAGCGGCAGCTTCAGAGTCAAGTTGCCACCTGGAGGCGTGGAGGGGGGAGCCTTGCGGCGGAGTGTACGTACACACACACACACACACACACACACACACACACACACACACACACCACACACACACACACACACACGAGCCAGCACCCCCTCGACATGGGAAGTGTGGCAGGAATATTTGATGATCCAAAATGATCAGTCGGCCCCCGTTGCCATGTCGCTGAGGCATCGTGGTTTATGGATCCCTCAATCGGAACCACTGACATGGAGGACGATCCATACTACGGCGGTCCCGCCCCGTGTTTTTATTTTACCTTCTCCCGCGTGAACTGCCGGACTAATTTCTCATAAGGGGGAAGTCCGACAAAACTGTGCCAGGCGGCCGGCATATTTGGCGGTATTTCACGGGCCGGAGCCCACGCGGGGGCCGAGGAGGGCCGAGGGGGGCTCACTTATCCCCATTATATTATTAATCACGGCGATAATGATAACCTTTCCATGCTTCGCATGCCCCACATGTAAATGTGCGATAGCGGAGATTAAATTCAATTTTTTCGTTTTAATTTTTTACCGTTGCCGAACTAACTCATCAGCTTTCGGACCTGTTAGAAACGGTTCCCTGGCTGCCGCCTTCTCTCTCCCACTGCCAGCTCGCACTGGAGCTCGCAAAACGCGTCTCGCGCGACTGTACGGCGACAGTCTAGTGCTGCCGATGGTCGGAACCACGAAAACGGGCGGCCATCGACAGCGCTAATGCCAGTCCTCGGCAGGTGTCCCTCCAACAGGTAACTCTGTGGCTAATTAGGCATTTACCTGGCGCAGTCACCGTGGAGCCACAGTGTGGCGCGGCGTGGCGTGGGGGGACGCCGTTTCGTCGTCCGCACGACGCCCTGCACGCCGCGCGCGCTCCTAAACGGACCATTATGTTATTCCGTGAAGAGTCCCCGTCCGTGCGGTTTCATAATTCACCCTGCGCGCGGCCAGCGACCGGCTGCGCGCGTACATCGATAATTTATATCGCTTTGCCGAGCGGTTGAGCAGCGACGACAATGACCAGGAGTGACCACTGTGTGAGCACTGGGCGACCACTGGGTGCAAAACTATCTGTCGCGCTCATTGACGGGGTCGGTGATATACGGGCCGGTTCGCACGCCTGTCAATGCGGAAAGCGTTTTGCGAGATGAGTGGAAGGGCTTCCTGGACGACCAGCGCAGCCGTTTCCTGAAATTATCAGCAAGCACCGTTGGGGGGAAAAATCTGAAATTTTAAAAGTAATGTCTCCCCCTTCCGAAATGCACCTAGCTACTAATTGCTTCACGTGGAACTGCTTTGCTGTCATAAGCATGACAGCTGTCCGCTGGGGTGTAACACTGCAACCCCCCCCCCCTCCCCACCTTTGGCCCTTTCACCTGCACTTGCCTTCCTGCGTTCTTGTATACCAAATGTCCCACGTCCGGCCGCAGACTGATTCCGAGAGCCGCTCTGTCTCTCTCGCACTCACGGGGCGTCCCAAGCAGGTGCGAGAGAGACAGAACGACCCTCGGAATCAGTCCGCTATGCGTGGCTGGTGGGCAGTTTGCAGGTGACTGACCACCAAACTCCCCCGCTCCCACTATTCCCCCTCCGGGCCTCGGCCGCTGCATCACAGAGTGTGGCTTGGAACAACGATTACCAGGGCCGATAGTCGTTTCCTGTGCAAAGTAGCATTTTATCAGCGGCACACTCGACCAGCAGGGGATCAAGCAACCGCCCACACGGCAGCGCTCGCAACGCTCGCAGCGGCCGCGTCCGGAACTGGGGAACGAAACAAGGAGAGGCGTGGGCGGCGGCGGCACGCTCCGCACGCAGCCCGCCTGGAACCGCGCACGGGGGCCGAGGCGGGGGCCGAGACCGGACCAAGACTCGTTTAAACGCTTCGCAGCTCTAATTAGAGCTAAACTGCGAGAGGGGGAGGAGGGGGTGGGGAGGGGTTCCGGCCCGACAGGGTGGTCAAATGAGGGGAAATAAAAGGGGGTGGGAAATATATTTTTTTAGAAAATCGAGGTGTTAAAAAATTAATTGTTGAAAAATTTTGAAGTTTTTGTGGGTGAAGGGCGTGTCTGGTCGTGCCTTAATTTTAAACACCCCTTACTTGTTTTTAGCGTTCAATGCAATGCTTGAAAAACAAAAAAAAATATCAAAAAACAAATACACATGAGGGTATCCATCAATTTGCGATTGTATGGGACATCTTGCTCTGGTTGTGATTCAATGAATGCCGCCGTGTGGACAAGGAGCGCTCCGCGGAGGACAGGGGTTGGGCCGCGAGAGCCGCGGGACCGTGACGGTGGGCCTCCACCGCCACTCTGCTCAATTAAATTTATTTTATTTCACTCATGTACGGCGGCCCTCTTTGCTCTATCGGCGCACCCAGCGTCACAGCCACCGCGGTACAGTCACCGCACAAAACTCGGACAATCCCCCCGGATGTGTCCCGGTTGTACTGATTGACCCTAAACATGTGTTTGATCTTGAAGAAACTAAGTTGGAATGCGCGAAAAAAAGTTTTGTCTGAGAATATAAAAGCTTTCCAAGGACACACGCCGCTGAAAAGGCGTTTAGTCGTTGAAGTTAGTAGTGCTATCTGATTGCCCCCCACCTCTCTCTCTCTCTCTCTCTCTCTCTCTCTCTCTCTCTCTCTCTCTCTCTCTCTCTCTCTCTCTCTCTCTCTGTCTCTCTCCCTCCCTCTCCCTCACTCTTGACGGCGGCCCTCGCCCTAACCGGACTCGCCACACCACAGCAACCCCTAATTATCTAAACACTGGTAGCAGTAGCAGCACTATCTCTCAAATCTCCCTCACTCTGCACCCCCGTCCCCCCTCCCCTCCCTCGCCTCGTATTTCCTTCCCGGCTTGCCGGCTCGCCCTTGTTCGAAAACGCTTCAAACTTTCGCGCCGGCGTCATGAGTGTTATTTTCGAGCAGGGCGGCCGACCGAATTAAAAGGCTGTGCGTGTGTCAGCAGCGCCGCCTCTCTCTCTCGCACCCGCGCAACCCCGCTGGCGGGAGTGCGAGAGAGACGGAGAGGCTCTGTTTCGGAACGAGCCAGGAGAGCCTGTTTTATTAAAGGTGCAAATTGTTGCCACTCCTAGCGCAGCCGTTCTGGGCCGCTCTCGGCTGCTCTCTTTCGGCGTGCTCGCGGCTCGTTGCCGGCCGGCCCGCCAGGCCCGCCTCGCCGGCTAAATGGCCAATAATGACTTGGCACATTTAAATACCGCCCGCGCGTGTGGCCGGCCTGTCCGCGGCCCGAATGCATCCCAGCTAAACGGCGTATTGGCGGGAAAGTCTGGCAGGTCGTTCCCAGGGCCGCGGCCCCACGGGCCCCACGGGGGGCGCCTCGACGACCGCGTCTAGACGATAGAAAAAGGCGCGACAGGATTGATACGGATAGCACTGGACAAACCTCCGAAAAAAGGCGACAGGGGCCGTGGCGGGCTGCCGGCTGGAAGAGGGTAAAGCAAGCTCTGGCCAGCGGGCTGTTTCCGAACACGTCGCTCTGCCTCTGTCGCACTCACGGTGCAGGGTGCGAGAGAGACAGAGCGACGAAGCACAGTGGTTCGCGCACTGAGGCGGCGCTCGGATTGAAAGCGGTTCACGATCGCTCCAAAGCTATCCTAGGTGCCCACCGGAGTCATTACCCGGGCTTTTTCCCTCCGACACATTTTCTAGACGGACATTACCGCTTCGTCATAGGGGGCCGTTTTTGTGCGCTGCTGTGTTAGTTCGTGCCGGACGGACTGCGCGGCGCGCTTCGGATTGGTCCGGATGGAAATAGGGTAATTTGGATTTACAGTTACTCCTTTCCGGACGATTCCTCTCTGCTTGTTTTGGGGCTCGTGCGGGCAACCCAGGGCGGTCCGCGCGTGCCAAAAACGCGCCGCCGATCACGGCCGGTTGCGAGGATTGATAGAACGGTACGGAGGTAACCGTAAAGTTTTTCCTATTTTTATTTTTTTTGTTGCTGCTGGGAGCGTCTGGCTTTTGCTAATACCGCGCGAAATAAAGTGGCATTCGCATCGTTACGACGCGGCTTGCGGTTTTGTCGGCGTCTTGTTGAGTCGCTGCGGCCTCCGGCCCGCTGCGGTGCCTTTGTGTGTTCGGATGTTGTCTCGCGTTCCATTAGCAGCACACGCAAACGCCTCTCCGCCGAAACCTCACCTAACTAGCCTCATAAAATGAGGTTTCCTTGCTTCGAATCTCTTTGTCGTGTGCCTGTTTGAGTACCCTCAAGCCGACATATATTTCTAGAATTTCGACGTTCATCTCGGCTCTGTATTTCAAGAACAAACTGCTTCAGGATGTGACAATTTATTTTTCAAAAATATTATTGTTCCTTTTAAATCTGTTTCCTTTCCTTGTCAATTTTTCAGTCTGCTTGGGTTTAGGGAAAAAAATGGACTGTCGTTTTCGTAGATTGCACTTCATTCAGGTTTATTCCCATACTTTCAACTCAAATATATAGTCACATACAAAGCAGGACATTTTGGAAACGACAGCTCTAGCCTCACTGGTGTTGGGCAGCGTGACACCCTGTCTCACTCGCAACAGCAGTGAGAACAGCGCTTCTGAAGTAATTAGCTATATTTTACAATCATTACAATGAAACATACTATATAGAGAACATCTGATCACATATATACAAAAAAAAATTATAATCATAACAAACAAAAATTAACATGGCAAGAGACTTTGTTCCTGAGTAATCTAACTAGGTTCAGCGTCTCTAAAATACGTTTATAAATTAAAATAATACTGTATTTGTATCTGATTGTACAATATAGGGCTTATACAGTGAACTGATAATCTTTTTTATGGAGCTAATAATGTACAAATACAAGTATGCATCGCAGCATCAGCATTAACAACAACGACAAGAACAAAATTTGGTAGGCCGTATTTTGTAAAGCCTTAGGATAAAAAAGAAACTTTCAACAAGCTAAATCTATGATGTGCCTAATAATGAAGTCGATTTTATGAACCTTGAACCACTGACAAGCACACAAGACAGGCACCGGGTCGGTGAGAATCGTAAATTTCACAGGAGAAAGAAGCTTTTTAAACAAATGGAAACAAGAGTGGGCTTTATAAGCCGACAGTCAAAATACAACCCAGGTTGAAAGTGGTAAGGCCTTCATTCCAATAAAACACATGACAAAAATAACATTTTTAACAAAGAAAAGCATCATTACACGTCGACGAAAAACAAAAGTTGATACGAATTGCACTGCGGTCCGGCACTGCACAGGCCGTCGCTGTTTATAATGTCTGTTCTGCTGAGTACATAGACATATCACAAAGCTACTCTCGTGGCGCCAGAACTAACAACAACAACAACAGTCTTCAATCACAATAAAGCTTTAAATGGCGCGCGGTGCGGCCAGGGCCCTGGGTCCGCGGCACGCCGCGGCACGGCGGGGTGAACGGTAACCAAGGTGTTGGTCTCATAGATCGCCCACTCTCGAGTCGTTGGAGTCCTCCTCCACGTCCACCGAGCCGTGCCTGGACTCGGGCGTGCGCGGCGTCCGCGGCGAGTGCGGGTGCTGCTCGGGGGAGGGCGTCCGCGCGGGCGGGCCGTGCTGCCCGAAGTGCGCGGGGGGCGGGTGGGGGCCGCCGGGGGAGTTGTAGTAGCTGGAGAGGGAGGCGAGGGAGGAGGAGGCGGCGAGGGCCCCGGGGGCGGCAGCCCGCCGGGCAGGGTGGACGACGGCCCGGGCAGCAGCCCCATGCCGGGCGGGTACAGCCGGTACGCCAGGGGCTTCTGCAGCGTGCTCACGGCCGCGGACACGGCGGCCTGCTGCCGGTAGAACAGCTCGGCGGCGGACGGCGCGGACCTCGCCAGCGGCAGCGCGGCCGGCGACGGCCCGGGGTAGTTGGGCCAGTTGGCGTACGAGGGGTACAGGTTCTGCAGCGCCACGTAGTTGCCGGCCTCGGCCAGCAGCTCCAGCCCCACCGCGGTCTGTCGCTTCCACTTGGTCCTGGAACAAGCGGAGAAAAAGGGCGGGTTAGTTTCGATCGGCAGGGTGGGCGGACGAGTGGGGGTGGCCTGGCCGGTTCGTAATCAGAAAGGAAACTCCACTTGAGCGGCGCGCTGAGCGGGCAGCGCGGCCAAGCCCGGCAACGCCTGCAGCGCCCGGCAAAGCGCGTGGCGGTAATGGCGCCATTCGCACCTAGTAACAACGCAACCCGAACAAAACGATTCCTAAATGCAGCCCCAGTCCCGCACGCTCCGCACGCGCGGCGTTCTTTTTCCCAACACGCTCCAATCACGCGAGGCGGCCTGCCAGCAGCCAGCCAAGCCAAGCAGTCGAGCCCCCACGGCCCGATAGCTTTCATGTATCAAATATACAGCACACCTGACCACGGCGCTTCCACAAAACCCCGCATGCCGTCTGCGCTCGGCCCCGCCCCGCCCCGCCCCGCCCCGCCCCGCCCCGCCCCGCCCCGCCCGAAACGCGATCTGCCACGATTGAAATGGATACAGCCTTGAAGCGGCGCGCGACTCCGCTCGCTCGCCCGCCTCTTGGATTTGGCTTTTCGATATACGCATTCTTCCCGGCAAGATTTTCGTCGTTTCCGAGGCGTTACTCGGATTTCACGCCAACTCATCGTCCCCCGGAAATTCAAGGTCTGTTTTCAAACTAAGTGGTCTTTTATTTTGCGAAATTCTTTGCCGCTGTCGCCTCGTAACCGCTTGCAGCAAACCCATCAGATGAGCGCTCCATTCCCACCTTTTAGCCATCATTTTTCTTCCCGGTCGAGATATCGATGTCAGGGAGCGGCGAGCGCGACACCACATCTAGCGGTAGCAGGCGCGCACACACACTCACACAGACACTCACACTCTCACAGACGCACACAGTTTGTATAAATCATTCTCGCTCTGAAAGGGACAAAACGTCGCCGCGTACATGACTTTTAAACCCGTTCCGTATCCATTAACTAGCGATCATTTCACGCCTGGACAGGTCGGACCGAGTGTCACAACGCATTCACCGCTGCTGCTGCACTGCCAAGTGGGTGGAGGGGCCAGAAAAATTTCGCAACTGCGGACTGCAAGCGAGGAGCGTGAGGGTCGGGAAGAAAAAGGCTCAGCGTTCAGTGGTATTTGGGGCGTTTCGTCAGGAAACAAGACGCGCATCGGAGCGTTTTACACTCGCCAGCGGTCTCTTTTCATCGGACTTTATCGCTCGCATTGCGTAGTACTCACGTACACATGCACACACACACACACACACAGACCCCCCCCCCTCCATCGGAGCGAATTTATCATCATCGCACACACACGCCCGGTTCCATTCTTGCCGGGCGGCGACACATCAAATTAATATTTAATTGGGCCGGGCGATGCGGAATTATTACACAGTCGTGTGGAGAAACTGAAAAGCTCGCGCGGGCCGCGGCGGCACTGGCACACCGCGGCGGCACCGCGGCAGCATGACTCGTAATGATAAGGTCATATAAAAGCAATAACGCCAAAAGGCCTGCGGTCGGGAGAAGTCGGTTACAAAAAGCGAAACGCGGTCAGGTGTGTGTGAGAGTGTGTGAGTGTGTGTTTTCGTGAGTCTCTGTGTGTGTGAGAAGATGCGTAGCGAGCGGTGGCCTGACATTTAGTTGTTGAATCGGTGCAGCCTCGCTCGCAGTGCACTTTGTCCGAAGGCGGTGGCCTCACTCGGAGTGAACGGCGGCGGCCAGCCCTGAACTTTTTCCTCCGTCGCTCTGTCTCTCTCGCACCCCTGCGGCTCGGCCCGCGAGAGCGAGAGAGACGGAAGGTAGTGGGGGGATTCTGCGGTAATTAATCGCCCTTGTCGACAAATAAGAGCAGTTCTGCGACCTTGAATGCATCATCACCCTTTCCCTCGGCCTGCTATCGCGCGCGCCCGCGGCTGCCCGGCCGAATGGCTACTCGGCAAACAATCAAACAAGCGGCATCTATTAACGACGACAATTAATTTCTCAATGTCGCGACGCGCGCGTCGACAGTTGGCGCCCTTCCCACAGCCGAGCCCGCTTTGCCTGGTTTGCCTCCGCATAACCTCACTTTTTCTAGAATCGCACGCGTAGGTGCGTTTCTCACACACTCACACACACGCGCGGGACATCTATCAGGCAGCAAAACTATTACAACCGCAAGAAAGTTTCCCAGATTGCCCCTTTTTATGGCGGCCACCGCGAGGCGCCGCGAGGCCGCTGCATACATTTGCTCTGCTCGGCCCGGCCGGGCCCGGCTAGCCTAGGGTGTAGGGCCCATTCCGAACAACGTCCGCTTCCGTCGCTCCGTCCCTCTCGCACTCACGGGGCGTGCCGAAGGCCCGAAGGGGTGCGAGAGGGACGGAGCGACTGCTCGGAATCACAGTCCAAGGTGTAACAACACGGATCGGGGCTGTTATTGCCACAACGAGCCGCGCTCCTTGAGCGGGGCGTTGCTGCGCGTTGCGGGGCGGCCACCCTCGTTGGCGCCACCCGTCTCGCCACCCGTCTCTCTCTCTCGCACTCACGAGGCGTCCCGTATAGGTGCGAGAGAGAAGGACTCTCCGCTGAAAGCCCGATCCTGCCGATAAGCCCCAGTGTACACGGCTGCTCACACACTCGGCCCCAAATTGGCGGCGGCGAGCGCCCCACCGCAGAATGGGGTGCGGTGCCCCTCGGGGTGCCCTCGGGGTGCCCCCTGCGAGGCTAGCCGGCCGAGCCGCCGCCCCCCCGCGAGGCTAGGCCCCGGCCTTTGTTCACGCCATCATTAGGCCGGCAGCAGCCGCCAGGTGATGGACACCACATATGCTGGAACGAAACGGGACGCGGCGCTTTCAAAGAAGCAGAATTCCAATTACGCTTGTCGTGAATAATAACGAAAAATTCCAATGCTTACGCATTGCACGGTGTTCCGGTTGTGGAAATCATTTTGAAATCTGTCATTTAAACGTTAATTACGTTAATTTTACCGTTATTTACGTAACTTTGAATCCTACCGATATTTTTACATTTCCAAAAGTGATTCAGTTAACACAATGACCATCTCAGTCCATCTCGCGATCTCGCGATTTACAGTGCTCGCTCATGTTCGTCAACCCAAAGTCATCCGCGTTCCGAAAGCACCCCTCCCGAGTTTAAAAAGTTTGTCAAACCAACCGTCGTGCTGGTTATAGAATTGAGGAAAACATGAGACGAGAACCGCAGCCTTTAAAAGCAAGCCAAGCAATCCAACCTCAGCAACAATGGAGGGGCAGTTTCAATGCGCGACTACTCGTTTTTCAGCCTCGCGATTTTCGAAAGGCGCAGACGCCGAGAAAATTGTTGCCAACTGCGGAAAATCTATTTATTCTGTCTTTCTGCTGTGAAGTTTTTACTAATGACAGATTTGAATATGTGTAAATGTTTTATCAGTGTACAATGAGTGAACATTGGCATTTGTGAATTTTACGGCGTTTTAATTTCTTTTTATCATGGACTTTAAATTTGACAGTTGGATAATGGCAGTGGGACGTTTTCATCGAGAATTTTTCTTCATGTTTTTATCATTTTCTTAGAACAGTGATTAGTTTTTGTCACTTTGATGAGGCAGGAAGTTTAGTTTTTAAGAGTGGCACATTTTTTCTTCGAAACGTTTCTGGAAAATGTGAACGGATAAGGGTGCTTGATTGTTGCAAATTTATGTTTTAGTCGTTTACGGAAAATTTCCACGATAAATTTTTTTGATTTTCGGACTTTTTATTGTATTATGAAAAAGGATTAATATGGCGGGAGCGAAATGTCCATCCTGGGGGTCCGTAGAAGAAGAATTCTGAGCGGCCCCGGGCAATAGGGGTCCTCCTTCGTCGGAACCCCTAAAAACGGTTCGCGGGGACGCGCAGTGTGTCAATACACGAGTGGGGGCTCGCCTGCGCCATCCGTCTTGGCCCGGCCGGGGCCTGGACGGGACCGGGGCGCTGTGTGACAGGTGAGGCGGTCTATTACTCGGGTGTCGAAGGCGGCCCGAAGGCGGCCCGGCCTGCCAAGGGCACTAATGGTCCATCCAGATTTTCCTTTTTGAAAGAAGAAGCCAGGCCGGCGTTAGGGGACGCGTGTAATCGATGGGTGAAGGCTCGACGGACCCCACGCGGGGCGGGCCGGCCAGGGAAACGGCCCCGGCGCGCGTTCCCATCGCGCTGCATCGGCCCGCAGACAAGTGTCGAAAAATGGAACAAAACGGGGAATCGAACCCGCGGCCGGCGCGGAAGCGGCCACTGCATATCCGGGGCCGTCCGTGGTATCGGGGTGGCGCGCGCCTTGAGCGCGGATTCGTTCCGGAAAATGGTTGGAACGGCCTTCCGCGTATTTCGCGCTCATCAGATCAGCCAGCCCAGCGTGCAGGCCGTGCAGGCCGTGCAGCAGGACGGGAGGAAGTGCAGGCGGAGCACTGCGGAGGCCCTGGACGGAGGCTAGCCGCGCGCGTGCGAGTGTGTGTGTGTGTGTGTGTGAGCTTGCTCATATAAATGCTCACGCACACACGTGTTGTGTCATGACTTCCATGTTTGCCTTGCTATAGCCGTTATATAAGGTGAATATTCAAAGAGAGAAAAACCCGCAGCGTCGTTCGAATGTACAGAAAAATGGACAAATACAAGGGGCAAGGAAGGGCGGCACGACCCCACCGCGAGGCGGGGAACTACTCGGAATCGAATGGAATTATTAATCCGTCGGCGCGCGCACATGTTGACCAAGGGGGGCTGCGGTCAACACGATTAGCCGACGCACAAAGAACGAGCACAAACTCGCGTCATTCTTCGCAAAAAAAGATATTAAATACTGCATTCCGTATTTATTATTTTTTTCACGCGTTTCGGCGGCCCTAACACGCTTCATCGCCTGTCGGCTGACCCGCCTGCCCCCCGGTGTGGAGGCCTTTTGTGCAGCTCCCCCCGATTCGCTGCTCGCCGCACACGCGCCCCGGCCCGTATTTGAACCCGTGACCTTGACCAATCGGCTTCGGAGAGGATGTACTCAGCTCGGTCGCAGCGGCTCGCTAAGCCGCCGGCTCCATCCCGCTGACCGGCCGCCCTAACCTCAATGTGCAAACGACCGCCGAAAATCCGGGCGGGCCGCGCTGCCGCGCTCACAACACGCGAACACCGATGTGGGCCACGCGGGCCCTAATGCGCTTTCCTCTGCCAGCACCTTGCCGGCACCTTGCCGGCAGGAAGGGCGAGGATGGTGCTCAAAAAGCGGAATATTTTACTTATTAACTTGATGCCGTCCGAGTGGGCAGCCTGTGGCCAGCAAGGAACAAGGCCTGCTTTCCGGTCATCAGCGCACGCGGACGCGCCGCGGCGTTGCGCATCGTCTAGAGAGAGAGAGAGAGAGAGAGAGAGAGAGAGAGAGAGAGAGAGAGAGAGAGAGAGAGAGAGAGAGATGTGCCGAACGCTAAACCGCGACCGGCCGTATATGTACACGTTTCTGCGCGCGCACGCATGCGTTATGTAAACAAAGGTGAAAGTTGCGTTGGTTTTAAGAGGGATGGACGGATGGCGGGTCCCACAGTCCCCCTCCCCCTTCCCCCCTCCCCCCCTCTCTCGCCACGTTTCGGTATGAGCGAGCGAGATCTCATCACAAAGTAGTTCTTTCCTCGTTTCCCGCCCTATATTCCAGAAACGCACACACACAGCGCCCGTATACATACACACAAACACACACACACACACAGACACGGACTGCTCTACAGACAGTTGCACGGAGGCGGGGAAGTGCGGCGCCCACCTATCGCTTCCCGCGCATACGCGCGCATTCAACGTTTTCCGGCCCAATGGTAGCAAAACAGCGCAAAATAAAATTCCAGTTCAGTTTTGGTATGGCCTTGGCAGAAAAAGGCCCGACACCCCCTTTCTCTCCCCAATTACTGGCAACAAAAACCACGAGCCATCGACGTCAATTAACAATTTGCGTGATAGTGTGGTTGGGGGTGACTGGGCACACCGCCTGGGCACACAAGCTGTCTGCCGACGTGGCGGGAACGGGGCGCACGAACACACACACCGACACACACACGCACACACACACACAACACATTCACACTTCACAGCAGCGCTGCGGTGTTCCGGTTGGCCGGCTATAACAATCCAAGGCAACGTACCCACTAACAGGTAATCTCATTCGGAAACTAAAAGGTCATAATTAGATTGTCATTGTTTCGAGCGGCGGCCGGCCGGCAGAGGGCGCGGCGGTAACCGCGAGCGGCAGCTGCGTCAGTAGAGCAGCGGGCCAGCCAGGCGTGAACCGGCGGGGGCGCGCTCCTAAACGACGTCCAGGAAAGGAAAAACAATTAATTGAGTGCCGCCTGCGACCGCGGCGACCGCGGCGACCGCCGCACCCACACCGCGCGGCAATTTCGGCGGCACTTTTCAAACGAGAATCGTGAGCGGCTTTCGCGCCTTTTTGCGATCGTTAACGACAAAGCAGCGACCGCAGCGACACGCTACTCGAATTAAAGAGCGAGATTGGAATCACGAGGCTGCCGATTCGATTGTTTTTGTGCGCCCCGCAGCGCCATCTGTCATCCAAGAAAGCAAACAGTAAGTTTTCTATTATTTCCCCTTTTTCTTTTATCAGTTTGTGTTCCGGTGGGCTCGGCCACGGCTCGGCCGGCGCCGGCCCTCCGCCCGTTCCAAGAAGCACTCATCTGTCATAGGCCAGCCCCTTTGTCTCTGTTGACAAACATGACACGCATGTCATAAAGATAAACAAAAAGCCCTTTTTGTTGTTAATATTCATGCCTTCGGTAATACTCCGTATTAGGCGGCGTTACGACCGCGTGCTGTTTTGACCGGGCCAGGTGTCGGCGCTGGCGCCCCGCTCCCGTGTAGATTTCAAGTGCGGCAGTAAATGCTAATTTCGGCCCGGCCCACCCGAAGGCCTGCCCGAAGGCCTGCCCGAAGGCCCGCCGGAGGCACCGAATGGCTTTCGTGCGCGCTGTAACTCACCTTCGGTTCTGGTACCAGGTCTTGACCTGCGTGTCGGTGAGGGACAGCTTGGCGGCCAGTTCCATCCGGTCCTGGACGCTCAGGTACTTTTGTCGCTCGAAGCTCTTCTCCAGGGTCTGCAGCTGGTGGTCGGTGAAGGCCGTCCGGGCCTTGCGCTGCTTCTTGGAGGACGGACAGATTGACGACGACGACGAGTTGGCGCTGTGCGAGCCGCCCTCGTCTTTGTGGCCTGCAATCAAACATTACAAAATCGTCAAACGGGTGTTTTTGAACTTTGGTTTTCGGGTTCAGCGGTTGTTGTTTGATGATGGAACTTGGTGTGACGGCACCAGTCATAGTTTCGATACATCGTGAATTATGAATGCGGCATTCCTCTTCCATACAGTCGCCCAAAAGGCTAACTGCCACTCCAGTTCCACGGCCTTCCAGCCACCCGACTTCCCACAACCGTATTCGCAAAGTAATAAAGGTGTCACTCTGCCGGGGGCGCGGCTCGGCAAGGCTCGGCCTGTTGCCGAAACACAAAAGTCGTCCTTTGTGCGACCACTTTTCGGGAATAGGATTAACGGGGCGACCTAACCTCTCACGCCTGTCCGAGTCAGACACACACACACACTCACTCACACACAACGACAGATTGAAATGTCGTCCAACTACTTGTGCTTGACGCGCTGACACGTTTCACAATCCGTCAGTTTAGCAAAGTGGCTGTGCAGAGTTAATCCCCCGACTTACTTCCGGCGACCGGGCCGGGCCTGCCTGGGCCTGCCTGGGTCTGCCTGGGCCTGGCGGGGGGTGCGCGGTCCACTTAAGACGACCCGCTTCCGTCGGACAACAACAACAACGGCTTCAATAATTGAAAACATTTTCATTTCCACGGCCGGAATGGCAAAAAAAGCGTTGGCTTCGCTTCCGTTCCTATCGCATCACCTTCGAGAGAGGAAGAAGTTTGGCGAAGTGGGGCGGTGCGCGGGAGTGAGGGAGAGGGAGGGAGAGGGAGGTGGTGGGAGGAGCGATGCTGGAGGGGGCGCTTGCTCGCCCTGCTCTCCGCGTGGCTCCGCGACGCCATGGCGGCCGCGCTGTGCCGCGCTGGACCACTCCCCGCCCCCCACCACCGCGCGCCGCGCCGCACCGCCAAGACTAACTTGCCCACTTCGCGGCTGGATTGGTCGTTTTTTCTTCTTCTTTTTTCACCCTCGCCTTCTCTTTCCCCTCCTTTCTCTGGTGCAAAGTGAGGCCGCGGCCCTTTCGGACGTGATCGAAGCGTTTGATTAGCCTTACGGGCCGCCAGCCGGCCAGCCAGCGGCCAGCCAGCGGCCAGCCTCCGAAAGTCATTAGCGGTAGATTAATGGTGCGCCGACCTTCTTTTTAGCTTAAAAAGATCTTTCGTTTCTCCGACGCTACCGAACCCTTTCACAATGAAATCTCCTAAGTGAGGGAGAAAAAAAAGTGGGAAAAACGGCGAGTTCTGCTTCAAGCGGTGCGGCAAATCCACTGCGTCCGTTGGGGGATGCGTCCGAGGGCTCTTTCTGCCGAGTCCGGCGGAGGAAGGGTGGCGAAACCCTTGGAACCCATGCCTCTGCGGTTTCAAAGCGGCCAGGCAGATCGCCTCTAAAATATTCAGGACATGGCGGGGCGGGGCTGCGGAACGGACGCACGTAGCAGCCCCTCGAGACGATCACCGATTTTGCCAGTAAAAGGGGAGAAAATAAAACATGCAGTGGGCGAGCAGGCGGGAGCGCGCACCCACACACACACACACACGTCCCCCACTTTACTCGGTAAGTGGACACCACCTCTGTAAGTGGGGGCAGTAGCTCCGCCGACTGGCCGACTCGATACTGCTCGACTTTGCTCTTCGCCACTCCCAGGAGGATAGGATGGTCTCTCTCTCCCTCTCTGTCGCTCCGCCGTCCGGGGCGCGCGTCCCCTTCGGACCGTCTCTCTCGTTCCATTTGAGCTCCAAATCAAGCGCGAAGGCCCCACTGAGAGTGGTTCAAACAGCTCGGAGAGCTGGCTGGCGGGGCGAGGGCCCTGCCAGACGCCAGCCAAAGGGAGGAAGGTGGAAGTCCCAAAGTGGCTTCAGTCACGGGGAAAGCGCACCGAGCCCTTTGAACTGGCCACGGACCGACTCTTTTCGCCAACTGTCAAACAAAAAGCGGCCCGACGAAATCCAATCTATTAGCATCCGCAGAAAGAGGGCGGCCTCGCCGCGCAAAATAAGAAGGGAAAGAAAAGGGAGAGGGCGCCGTCGGGGCAATTAAGTAATTGTTGTGTTAAGATTTCCGTGCTGGAAAAGGCGCGGTTTGGCAATGAATTCCCGCTCCGTGACGTTGCGAGAGGGGGGGGGGGGGTAGCGGGGCGGCCCCGGGGGGTGAGCGTTGCGTGCCGACAACACTTCATTTGAAAAACAACACTCTGCCGCGCCCTCCCCCTGCGAGGGGGTGCGGCGGCGGCGGGCCTCAGGGTGAACGCACGCGGCGCCCCGCCGCCAATTTCGAATTTGGCGCGCTATGTGCCGGAACCGGATGTGGGGCATCGAGATGCGGCGCCGATGATGGGCCAATCAGAGGGAGGCGTGCGTGCCTCGGGTGTTCTCAGCTCGAGTGTGAGTGTGTGAGTGTGTGTGTGTGAGTGTGCGTGGAAAGGGGTGGCGAGAAATGGCCCGCCCGGTCTGGCACTTGTAGGCTGCCTTCGCTGCCGCTCCGTCGCTCCGCCGCTTGGCATGCAATGGGTAAGACACTGTCGCGGTCTTTTGTCGCGTGGTCGCGCGCGCACATGAAGTCCTTCGTAAGTCTTCTCGTGTGTCTCGCGCTCCCTGCTTCCTCGCTCCGTCTCTCTCTCTCTGTCTTCCGTCCGTGCGTCGTCGTCGTCGGACACATGTCAATTATCGACCCCATTAACCGTCCGAAGTTGGCAACAATGAGCAGTGGCGCGCTCCGGCGGCGACGCCTTTAAACGAGCCCGACAACGGGGCGACGCGGCGACGCGGCGACGGTGATGAGAAACGATGAAAAACGGAACTGAACAAGGCGCGCGCGGCCTGGCTGCCGGGCTGGCTGCCAGCCTCGGCGGGGCGCCCCGGCCCGGCCGCCTGCTCGGGCTGCCGGCGTGGGAAGCCGCCACAATGGCCGGCTCTCATCACCGCCAATGTTCAACAATGACTGCGAGGTGTCGCTCCTACACTACAATGGGACGCGTGGTGCTGCAGTGTGCTGCAGTGTGCTGCACTCGTAATGGAGCGATTTTCCCCGGTCAGTGCTTCTCAGCGACGGGCCGCCAATCGCGCGCCGGAACATCCCGGAAACACCGATCGCACTTGTCTGCGGTAACGAAGAGCGGAAAAAGGAGACGAAAACCGGAGGTGAAATTTTCAAGTTTTCGGGCGCTGAGACGTCGGCTGAGGCGGAAGCTCGTAAGAAAATCAACCAAAATGGCCGTCGGCCGCGGCGATAGCGCGGCCGTAAAACGCGGCGTTGTTTATGGACGGCCCCCCGGGGCGGGCTGGGCCACGGCCTGGGCGGCGTTAAAGCGAAATCACTTAAAAGTGGCCACTTCTAGTGGAGGGGCGGCGACGTGTATCGACTGTGTGCCTCCTAGATTGCGAGGCTTACGGCTCGCGTGGTGGGGCGTGGCGAGGCGGGGGGCGGGGCGGGGCGGGGCGGGGTGGGGTGGGGCGTGGCGGGGCCTTGCCGGGCCGAGGGGCAATTTGTTCCCGTTATTCACACGTCCAGAGAGGCGGGAAAGGAGGGGAGGGGGTCAAGAGGGGGAAGGCATAAACATCGCGACAGGTCAGGCCCCCGAAAAAATTGTCTAGCAGACTTTTCACCATAAACTCTCCTTTTCGGGGGAGCAAATTTTGTTAAACAGGTAAAACCAAAACCAAATTTAAAAACAACAACAATGTTTTAAAACGCTGTAATTTTTTTTTCGGTCGTTAATTGTTTAACGCTTTACAAACACCCCCTGGGCCATAGTGTGAACGAAATGTCCACCTCTGCTTTCGGCCCCGTGCGTCGGGCAAGCCCTGCAGGCGGGGCGGGGCGTTCGGTCGGCTCGTGTTGATACTGGTTGATACGGTGGCGCGGCCTGGCCGAGGGCGGAAGCGGCCCTAACGCAGTTACACGTCCTACCCTCCGCGCCGTGCCGTGCCGTGCCGAGCCGAGCCGCGACAAGCTGCTAATCGGGCGGCTCGCGCGTTTACACGCCACGATAAGGGAGGCACGCCACGCCACTAGAACGAGAGCGAATTTACCGTGCAGTGAACCTGTGTCGAGCCCTTCCCCCGCACGCACGCTCACACTCACACACTGACACACACGGGCGCCGTGAGCGGCAGCCATGTAAGGGCACGGGGGATAATGATGGCTCAAAACAAGGAGCACTCTTCTCGCACGCGTCGCCACGCGCCGGTGACACGACATGCACAATGTGGTGGTGACTTGGGGAGAAAAGGCTTAGCCGGTACTCGAACCCGCGCGCCCGGCGGCCCGGGGCTACACGCCGTCGGCGTCCCGGAGGAGGTGTAGCAGCACCTGCCGCCGCCGGGAGACGGTGCGGACGCAGCCAAGCGGAGGAGCCACACCACGGCGTGCACGTCGACGACATGCAACAGCGCGACGACGTGCTACGTATAGTGCGTTGCACGTCGTACGTGCACGGCCTCCTGGCCGCCCCCACAGTGTTGCGACGTCGGCGGCCATCGCGGCCACCGCGCGCCAGGACGAGCGAGGCGGCCGCGGCGGCGGCCGAGAAAATTGGATCATATATTTTTGAGGTTATGCCTCGTTGCGGCGACTCGACCGCCACGCCACTGGCAGCCCCGACCGCCACAGGCCGGCCAGTTCGGCGCCGCTCAGCGCCTGCTTCCTGCAGTAATGCAAAACACTAACAAGCTGGCGCAATTAAGTGCGGCCAGGAGACCGCGCGCCAATTTTCAAGCGTCTTCTCCCCCCGGAGTCACAAAAAAAGTATGAAAAATGTTGTTGTCGGCGTCCGCGTCGAGTCGAGAGGGGTGAGCCGAAACCGTCGCGTCCGCCATCACGACGGCCCCGCCATAAAGCCCCTGCTGCTGGCTGGCTGCTCGGGCGGGCCGCCGCGCTGGCTGGCTGCATTGTCCGGGGTGCCATTGTTTCCTCTTAGGCCGTCTTTATTGCCCGCTTTCCGACGTTAATGCTCCGCCATGCCCCGCCATGCTCTGCGCCGCGCCGTGGCGAGCCACTGGGATAT